AGCCCCTATGAATGGAGGGAGGTGGCAGGGATGTAGCACCAACACTCCCAAGCCCATGTGAGTTCCCTTAGCTTGAGCTGCTATCAAACACTCCATTCTGGCTTCTGTGGCACCTGGGGATTCTGATAAAGCCCACCCAACCCATGGGTGGGAGGCACTGCCCCAAAGCTGGGGCAGGTACCCCTCACTCTCCAGGGGCCATTCTTGGCCTGTATCAACTCCTCCTCCTCCTCCCCACACCTCCCTGGTCTGCTCCCTTCACTCTGGTTGGCATGCTGGGCAGGGAGGGGTGGGGCCCAGGGCAGAGGCCAGGTTCATCAGGGGCACCTCCCTCTGAGAGCAGCCAGGCACTGTTCCCCACAGATGTGCTGCAGCAGACGGTCTCAGTGGACTCTCCAGGTAGAGTCCACAGGAGCCTATGCATGACACTTCCGCCATCCTCTACTGGTCCCTGTCTGGGCCAAGTCCTCCATGACCGGCCCCACCCCTGCTTCTCCAAGACCCTGCCTTCCCTTGGGCATCAGCCGAGACCCCCTCTATCCACTGTTGCTTCCTCATCACTCTCTCTCCTTCAAACCTGTCCCTCTGAGGCTGGCTCGGGACCCTCCTCCCTGCCCAAATGTGCTCAAGACCTTTGGGGGACCTCTGTGGTTCCCTGCTTCTTGGGGCTCTGGTTCACACTGGTTTGTGGAGGCAGGATCTTGGGCCCCAAGGCCCTGTGGCCCTTTGTGGAGTTGGTGGCTGCTCTCTGCAGAAGGCAGGGCTGGGGCATATGCCAAGGGGTTCTGAGAGGTGGCATGGGGTGCACTCACGTGACTGTCCCAGGGCACTTGGGGCTCCACCCACACTGCCGATACTCAGCCTTTACGTAGCTCTCTGCTCTCTCCTGCACGATGCAGGTCACGTTCCTGTGTACCACGTAGGCACAGAGGGCTCTGCAGGGGACAACAGTGTCTTTGGACTACCTGGCCTGGGCCAGGCACCCGGAGGCTCCTGCCCATTCCCAACCCCCACTCATGGGCCTCATCAAGGGACCAGGCGTCCCCCATCTCTTCTGTCCTTCCTCCTGGCTTCAAGGAACCAGAGCCCATGGCCTGGTCCCAGCCACACTGACGATCTCTCAGAACCTAGCCTCCTGACGGGGTTGGCCGCTGGGCCAAGCATTGCATGGAAACAGGAGCCTGGTTTGCCCACCCACCGTTCTGTAGTCTGAGGCCCACCCTGGAGTCCTCCTCCAGTGCCTGTCTCCACTCTCCTCTAACCCTTTCCCTGGTTCCAAACTCTCTAACTGAGCCCCACTGAGTGCCCCATCCACAGCAGGTTTCTCATCCCTCCTCTGAATGCTTCCGGGGAGAACACAGCCCATCTATAGACTCCCAGCCCCTGCCCTAGCACCTGGTTCCCCGTCTCTCACAGCACAGCTATTACATGGCTTCCTCCAGAAGGCCCCCTCTGGTTTGCTGAGCGACACCAGGCCTTCCGCCTGCCTCTCTTCCCCACAAACAAAAACCAAACTCACTGCTATTGAGTCAAGGCTGACTCACAGCAGGACCCCCTTAAAGATTTTCTAGGCTGTAGAAAGCCAGGTCTTTCCTCCCATGGGGCTGCTGATGGTTTCGAACTGCTGACCATGTGGATTGCAGCCCAACTTGTAAGCACTACACCACCTCTCCTCCAACAGCCCTCAATTCAGCGAGTGTCCTCAGGACAGTGACCAAGGCAACCCCAGCCCACCTGTCCCGGGCTAGTTCTCAGGCGCTGCCTTAATAAGGAAAGTCCAGTGGGGAGGCCGTTCTGATACAGAGCCTCAGCACAGACCCGGGACCCACAAGCCCCATCCGGTTCTGCAGCCCAGCCACGGTGGGGCTCCCGGGGAATGGCTGGGACCAGGCTACCAGGCGCGCGGCTCCATCTCTTAGCTGACGGGGCAGAGTGGTAGCGGGGAG